GGCTCGGTCAGCAACAGGGAGTATCCAGGCAACAGGACTTTCTGAGACTTTCGTGTATACCATCCATGTACAGGTCTGGGGCATTTATTACTCTTACAGCATGTGTGTATAAGGGGACATGGTGTGGAGAAGCAATATGTGAGTTTGTGTAGAGCAGAGGTGTGGAATGACTGGTTGGATTCATGTAGAAAGCAAATAATGTGTTGATGGAAGGTCTATTGTGAACAAAAAAAATACAAGTGTAGTTACTATGCCTCATTCCTCTACTAGACTGTACTTCTGTATGTCGCAATTATATAAGGAGATATAAAGACAGAAATAAGATACAGACAATTTATTGTGCTTGTCCGTAATAGAGACATCTTTATGAACAAAGTTTTGCTTGTTTTTTTTTTAATACTTTGTGTTCGAGTTTATGCAATATTTTCAGAGCCTGCATGTGTCGTTAGGCAAGACACTTCGTCCACATTGTCAAGTAAGAGTCTGGTTTGCAATTCAGCCCGATATTTTGTTCCGAAAAATTTGCGCCAATGACCAATATAGTTTTATGGATTAGTTGTTTGAACCATGTTTAAAGTGGTTCTCACCCCCACTCCTCGGAGCTTACGTCACTCACATTTCCTGTTCAAATCTTCCTCTAAATGGGCGTAGCCTGGAGGACTAAAGGGGGCGTGAACGAGACTGGGCCTTTTATATAGCTCTGGGCGGAGGGCTGCCGACGTCAAGTCTTGCTTCAGACGTCAGGTCTTGCTGCCGCGCCAGTGTTGGCGCCAGATTCAAAATTCAAATGTAGTAATAATACAGGTCGCCAGCAGATGGCGCCTCACAGACGGTTTTAGGCAGAAAGTTTAACTTTCAACTAATTTGCACCAAAGTGAAAAAATTATGACCAGGATATGTAGACAACACTGTTGGACACTCATTTATACCGTTTATCAGCAAAAAAAAAAAAGTTGTCCTTTAAAGCTGTACACATAACTACAAACTAAATTGGTTAAAAAGACCAAAAAACTGCAAATTGAACCAGTTTTGAATCTGTTTTAGTGAGTTGAACATGCATACAAGTATATATAGATCCTGTACAAGTATTAATGCCCTTTGTGACATGGGCTGTGAAGCACTCTGTTGATTTGTTTATGAAAAGTACTCTACAAAGAAAGGTTGATTGATCGATTGTATTTTCGAAATATAAACACATACATTAACATCTGTCATGAATTCAAATTTTTCTCCCGGAACACCAGGATCAGAGAATCAGCGCTTTAATCTCTAACATACATCATTTCAGTGATGGAAAACTCATGTATATTTTAATGAGTTCACTTCTCACTTTGAAGAGATAAAAGAAACACAAAGAATTGTGCTAAAAGAGGTTCTAGAGTACAGAGAAGCGGGGGTGATGCATTGTGGGTGTTTTCTCATGATAAATGGAGGCTGTAGAGCTGTATAGAGTCCGTCCTGCAGCAGAGACATAAGCTGACCCCGGATCAGGTTAACAGAAAACCCTCAAAATGACGATCAAAAGAACCAAATATACCTCGCAAACTGTAATTTTCGCTTCAGGATTGTGACGACTTAAAGACCTTATGACAGGTTTTTTTTTTAAAAATAGTGGATATCAAAATTGCATGACAATGTCAATTTGAAAGAGATTCCGGAAAAAAAAATCCTATATTTTATAAAAAGAACGTGTTTTTCATGAATTTAAGTTGTCTATGCTCTAACCTGTGTGTGATGTCATAGCGGGTTACGCCCATGCATTGAAAACCATGGATCTATGCCACAGGACTGCCTTTTCTCTCTTCTCTCCACTGAAGCCCAACACAATACTGCACTCTACAGGTGACAATTGCTCACTACACATAAATTGCTTTTTTTTGAGTGTGAAAAAGTGTCCGAGGTGGAATTTCAACCCAAGTATCTGGATTGGCAGTCCATCGACACAACCACTGGACTATCTCAGTGACAACGAAATGTTACATTCTAGTAGTTATCTTAGAGTCGCTGTACACGGCCTTGTCATCTTGAATTTCCGCGAAAAAAGAACGAATACCAAATTGTAAACAACTTACAGCGTTGAAACGTACCCGTTCTGACGTCACCAAGGGCTGTGAAGTTTTTCCGTTTCTAAGGGCGTTGCTATGGGGTTATTTCGATTTGGGGGGATCAGACAAAAAAAACAACAACTGATTTTGAAACCTTTAGTAGTTCTCTTCTAATATAAAATGGTATTAAAACTGTATTTCTAAATAAATCAAACCCGTCATAAGGTCTTTAAGTGCTGCAACACTCTACAGAAGGACTAATGGAGCCGGTCACAAGTAAGACAATTGAGGTTAAACTGCAAAATGTGATGAAAGATAAGTCAAAGAATTGCTCAAATTTTGCTAAATGTATATGATTTTCCAATGCCATCCATCCATCCATTTTCTTCCCCTTAATCCATTTCTGGGTCGGGGGGGTGGCAGTCAGAGCTGCACCCAGTACACAGAGCACCAGCCCCTCATTGATCCTCCTGCAGGTGGTGAGTCCACAGGAGCTGAGATCTTTCAGTTGGGGCTTTGGGCAAAGTAGGGTTAAGTGTCTTGCCCAAGGACACAATGACAGCAGTCATCAGTGGGAGTCGTGAAGTAGGTCTTATGGTGGGCTCGAACCCACGACCTTCAGGCCCAAAGGCCAATGCTCTACCAACTGAGCTACTGTCGCCCCAATGGATTTTCCAATGGAACAAGCAAAATGGTCTTGTTTTAAAAAGATGCAAGAAATGTCTTCCTTGGAATGAGAAAATAAAGCAACAGTTCTTGAAATAAGACTAAAGTTTGTCCCATTGGCAAATCTTGTTCAGAATGTACTCAGGTTATGGTAAAAAAAACAAAAAAACACTTGATTCCAGCATTTATGACCTCATATTTAATCTTTTTTTGCAGAGTACATGTTTCTTTAATATCGATATCTGTGCAAATTAGCATGAAACTTGGTGTTATTATCGCGTTAAAAGACACAAACAAGAAGCCTAGATCTGTCAGTCCAAAACTCGCCGTATGCCGCTGTTAACTAGATAATCAGGCTCTGGTTCTGGATCGAGGACATAGGGTTCTCTACAGATTACCATTGTTGGAAAAAGTTAGCTTTCACGCTGACTTGTTTACCTCAGAACGTTTCAATTGAGGTCCCATCAACCTCTATTCAATAAATGGCTATAATATCGGGTCTTGTATGCAATAGTAATTGTATGACATGCACTACTTTTACATGTTCTTCATCTTCAGCTTCCTTTTTCAAAAACAAAATAATAGTAAAAATGCATCTGAGGGAGATCACCATTCTCAGCACAGAGCGGCAGCTAAATGATGCAAGAGAGTGTTTATCTTATGTGGCTAATCACTGTTTGTCCACAGAAGTCCCGAGGGAGCGCGAATGACACAGATGATAAAATGCTATTTGCACATAGTGACAACACAGAGACAAGACAGCATTGTTTACACAGCGGCGTGTCTGGAGCTGCAGCAGTTACCCCCATCATCTTCAATATCAAGAAAGAAATAAGATACTAAAAACGCCAGCATTATATCAATGTGGTCTGTTGTGCGAGAAATATTAGTCTGAAAATGTGTTATTGGTTACATGAAAAACAGGTTAACCAAAAACAAATGTTCCCTTTATAAGAATATTTACCTCCACCATGTTTATGAATTGTTTGCATACAGTAGGCTTAGAAATGGACTTATAAATGTTCACGAGAGCTGGAGTACTCTCCGTGTCAATACTCCATCTTGAAATACAGTGGTTGATAAGGGACAAAATGGAGTTTGAGCAGGGGTCGGGGACCACTGTCAAAGACGACATTGTTCTGCGAAGCTGCTGTAGTACCGTAGATTACAATATATGATCTCAACGCTAGATGGGAGTAAAAACTACACGATTGGTGTACTTAAAGCTGGACTACTTTAATTCGATTTGTGTCATAAAAAAGACATTGTATTGACATCTTGTAAACAGCATGTGTTATCAGATTTGCACATAAATCTGATCACAAATACACTGCCTTCATCTTCTTGCGGTGATCCTCTATTTTCACTTTTCTGTAAAGTGTTTTTTAGAGCGAGAAAGTTCCAATTTGTCAGGGCTATGTCATCGCCGAACAATACATATAAACGCTTATTTAATGTTAAATATGAGAGACTGGCTCAAAGAAATTCAATATGGTAAATAAAAGTAGAAAAAAGGTTGCCTAGCAACAGCACTTTCAAGATCAGGAGATAAAAATTGAGCACTTAAGGGGAGCATTTGCACAGCGGGGTTTAGAGACAGAAGTGGAGCCGTAATGACACAAGATTGGAGTGATTAGGTCAATGTGTGTGCTTGTTAGAAAGTGTCCGATATGGGTTTTGTGACCGATCATCGATTTTTACTTATGACCAATTATAAAAACTATTTTTAGGTAGCGGCTAATTAGGGCTGAGCGATATGGAAAAAAAGTAAAATCCTGATTTTATTACCTGCTTTGCACAATTTCGATTTTAAATCGATTTGTATTTGAGTCACCGAAGACAGACTTTGCCCTTAAAAATATTTGTTGATCTTTCCGCTCAATATTCAAGTTTCAAAAATATTTTTAATTTGTTTCCCCCAATACGTATGATAAAAGTCTTGTACAGACTGTGCTGATATTGCAAGTATAATTCACGTGCTGCTGGAACTCTCACAATATCCTTCATTCGATTTCACAATTTTCACAAATTTCGCCTATTATTTTCCTAAATTCAATGTATTGCCCAGCCCTACGGCTAATGCTAAATACAGATGACTGACTTGACTGATTACCAGACAGCAGATAATTGTATCAAACCTAATTATGATTTATGACATTTCAAGTACAGCATGTCATGGTATTAAATATGGAGTTCAGGTCGATGCTTCAAAACCTTGGACTAGCCATAGATATATGGTCCGGCCAATGTACCAGTGGATCTGCAGAGCTTGTGTGAGTGAGTGAGCACCTGTGTCGCCCCACACAGGGAGGTACTCGTCCTGTTGAATGTCCAGCATGATCTCCAGCCCGTTCCCCGTCCCGCCCTTCATGGTGGTGCGCAGAGACCGGCCCTCCTCTGCCGCGTTGAACATGTAGCATTTCCCATATCTGGTGAACACCTGCGGACACACAGAGAGAGCTTGTAAGTTATGGGACAAAATAATTTCTTAAAGATATGTACTTCCAGAAAAATGTACACAGAAAAAAACAAGTTATTCGGAAAATTACTTTTATTAATTTTTTTCAAAAGAATAAACAACATTTTTTATTAACCTAATTCAAGAAAAAAACCAAATTCGTCACCGTATTTTGTTGTTTTGTAGTTTGTGTTCAGTACTCTGCTTAATATCTTTTACATGCTTGTGATTTTGGCCTTTGTCAAATCTTGCATGTGAAAGCCAGATCCCATCAGACCTCTAAAGCTGTGCAAGCGAGGGCCTGGTTAGTGCTATGATGGGAGACCTCTGGGAACATCAGGTGCCTCAGTGGGGCGTCTGTCAAGTGCCAAACTGTTGTTGTGTCCTCAGGCAAGACACTTCACCCACATTGCCTAGAATGAGTCTGGTGTGTGTGAATGGCTGGTGGTGGTCGGAGGGGCTGATGGCACAGACTGGTTGCCTTGCTTCTGTCAGTGTGCCCCAGGGCAGATGTGGCTACGGTAGTAATTTATCACCATTGTGTTTTGACAGAAAGAATCATAACATGTGAAGTTGCGTTTATAAAACCTATGCATTATTATCATCTATTGTTATCTTTGAAGGAATAACTTCACTCAGCCAATAACCAACCAAAAATGAGGTTTTGAGGACAGACCGTTTCTGAAAAATGTGGTCATCTTCCTGCATTCATTACTTGGATGGTCCTTCTTTTGCTCACAATGCTTTTTCACAATGTACTATTATTTTCTTTCAGACATCTCTGGTGGACTTATCTGACGAAATATAGCCTGCACAAACCCACCAGTGGAACAAGACACATTTGCATCAGTATTGAAAATGTGCAGTTGTGTAACCATCACCATTTTTTCTTTTGTTCACACCAAATCTTTTTTCCAGTAGAGTTTTGCCGCACAAAAAGATTTGTGTTGAAAGTCTGTTATTTTATCTTCTAGATGAAAAATGCATGGTTTATGGGTAATGAAACAAAAAAATAAATAGATACAGTAGATATTACAATCATAACCATGCTCTTGTTTATAAAGCATAAAGAGCGACAGTATTACAGAAAGTCTAATGCCGCTTTAGAGTCCACACTTCACAACAGCACGGTTTTATAAGCCATACATCTCTCTCTCTCAATGTTCAGGGACAATATATATACCAGGTACGGAACTTTTGATGTAGCTCTCATTGTTACAAGTGCACAAGTGGAAAGAAACTGGAAAATGGTCTGCACATTTATTGAAGTGCAAAAACATTATCCTTGAAGGTTCAAGACACAGAACCTTATTACAAGACCTTCATCATTCTCTGAAAAAGTGACCTCTCACATGGACGATGAGCTCCCAGTTCAATTATTCAAATAAAACTTAACTATTTCATTATATTACTAAATATTGCAATAATATGTAATTTCCCAGGCACAATATCAGGATTCTAAATCTATTTTTTACCCCAGCACTAGTCTATTCACTGACTAATGAATTCAATAAAAAGAATGATTATTTTAACAGCTCACTTGCAGACTTTTGTTAGGCATTTGAGAAAGTGTCTATACTGAATGTTTTTAGGTTGTTTGTCTCTGCTTTATTATTATTATTTTGTCAGCTATCAAAATATTTGTGAACTCCAGCCCAAAACAATATTGACGGTTATAAACAATATACAAGCGGCTCGTAAAGGAACTTCTGGTTGCCTGAAGATGACACCAGTTGCGTTTCCAGTTTGTTGTCAAATGTGGATATTACGAGCCCGCCACTGCCCATGTGTCGCCCTGGACCCGTCTCTCTCCTCTTGGGGGTCCCTCTCACACCCCAACCAGACTCTATGGGGGCCATCACCAAGCTTTTACTCTTTTATAACTTGTTAACGCACATGTTATCTTTGAACAGTATTTTGTATCTAGTTTATGGAAGAGTGAAGGTGGTATGAGTCATCTGTAGATATCTAGGCAACATTAGAAAACATGGAAGACAAATAAGTTTATGTATTTTCCACATAAGTCAAATGATAGTTTATTTGTGGAGGCAGATGTTTCCTAGCATTCAATAAGCTGGTGTGTGCTGCTGCATAAAACAGATGTAAACAGGTGAATGTAGGAGGTCCCTGCTCATGAATAGAAATGCTCTGAACATAATCATTGTCAGCAGCAGCAGCAGCATAATCATCATCATCAGCAGTTTAAAAAAAGAGGATCCATCAGTCTCCAGACACCACTCATATAAATATATAATTCATATTCCCGCACAGGCTGCTATCCACTTGATATATACATTAAATACTATGGCCGGAGATCAAAAATTATTCCTTCCTTTTATTTAACTTCATACGCCTATACACTTCCTGCAGCACACACTTCCTCCAGCTCAGAAGGGGGCATCGTGAGGCGTTCCCAGGCCAGCTGAGAGACATAGACCCTCCAGCGTGTATGAGTTTCTCTCAGTGGGATATAATGGAAAACCCAATATGATTCAAATTGGAGATAAACACATCATCAAGTTGATATTATGCATGCACTCAAAGCCAACCACTGAGAACTGAACAAATATGACATTATCAGTCAATAAACAGGTGAGAATATTTGATAAATTTTTCAAGCACATCTGACAGGTATGTAATCAAATTTCATAAACAACATCATTCCACTGTAAAAGAAACATGCTAAAGAATTATTAAATTGTTTTGGTAAATTGTCTTTACCAAAACAAGAACTGGAAACCTGTAATTTGCCACAAACACAAAGATATGGCTCCATCTTTATCTCTCTGTCCTGGAAAAACATTTTGTTGTAAATTGCAGCGTGTGTCACCCTGTCACCTGCCTCACTTTAAGATGGATTTCTCATTTCCTTGCCCCCCTCCTTCACACATGCACTGACCTATAATGGTTGGTTAGCTGTGCATTGATTGTCACCCTAATGTCCCACTGTCAGCCGGGCGGACCAGACAAAATAATATGGAGTGTCACATTACAAGTTTATTCTCTGTGCGATTCTCTGTGGGGGCAGAGCGCCGGAGCAAAAATATTTACAACATCATTTTTCATGTTTACATTGTGTCGCAGGTTAGGATGTTAGCAGCAGAAGCCAAGACAGAAAGAAAAAAACAACAACATAATGTCATTTTCCATTTGCCTTTCCTGGAGAGTCATTCTTAAAATGCCTAACATGGTTGCCAGATAGTAATCTCAGAAATAGTTTGCAGCTATTACCGTCAAATATACAGGATAGCCTTTCTCCTGTTGTAAATCAAATGAAAGACCCATGAGGTTTCCACAGGTGGATCTGTGGAGAGGTGATCCCACTCATAGTAAAGACTAAAACTCTAAGATTAGTGGGCTGTTCTCGATAAGCACTTAGCAGCAAGCACCAAAAATTAGCCCGAGGCTTTTGATAATGTTAAGTGGTGCAACCTCCTCCATGATACGCCACTCGCTTCCTCCTGCACAAAGCTTTGTTCAACGTAAGCAGCAGAAACAGAGCAAGACATTTTTTCCATTAACAATTTGATTATAGCAATCAAATTAATTTCAAATGGACTAGGGTAAGATTTCTTTAGAAAAAGAGAGAGAGAGCATTTCTCTTTTCCTAAAACCCACAAATCAAGCAAGATACCTGCCCTCCATGTATTGGAATGTGGAGCATAAATTACACTATTTTTAGAAACCGGTAATTAAACAAAAACTAGCTAAATTAGAATATTCAACAAATAAATTACTCAATTTCACTCCCCTGTCAGACTATGCAAAAGAGAAAAAGGACTATTTCTAGGAAAGAACATTTTGTGAACATATGGATCGGAAATAGTAATATGCTGAGAGGTCCATTATCTATTCCTGCAGTGTCCTTCGCAGCCTGCATTCATTCTGTCCACTGCTCATGTAGCTGGGTCTTTGTCAGGCACAGGGCTCTCCATTAAAGGGTACACCTCTCTGCCACATGCTCAGAGTCTCCATGGATATATTAGTGCTGTTCTGGAAAACCTTTGATCTACTTACAGGTTTACTCTGACATTTCAAACAAAGCATTGAAAATTCAAATAAAGAAATAACCTTGATAAGAATCAAGGATTTGTAAAATGTAAAAGGAGGATTTTCTACTTCCGGCGATTGGTCCTCCCAATTGTCAATCCTTCTGGTAATTTGTTTTGTTCACAACGTGGAGAGGGTGGTTCTTTCATAAAATTTGGGGAAATCCTCCAATATAACTTTAAGATAAAAACTGTCAAACGACAAACTCATTACAGCAAACCGAGAAATAACAAAAAAAGGTTTGGTATATGTCTCTCTGCCCGCTATGAGTCTACATCATGCATGTATCTATTTTCCAGTCTTCAACTGTACATTCATAGACAAAATTGCTAACAATTTTCTACTCGCAATTTTTCCTTTATTGTCAATTTCCTTTGTCAAACATCCATCTCTGGCCATTTCCTCCATCCATGTTATAGACTTACTATCAGGGGAACAGTGTCTTCTCTCTGTCAGCACTAAGCACTTTTGACTGACAGGAGCATTGGGTCAAACTCCCAAACGATTGGAGGATGACAACTCCAGACTGAAGCAAAATCTACTGTAGAGTCCAGGTTTTTCTTCTGCATTTTGGCAGGTGAGACTGTAAGCCAAAAAATGGGTGGAAATCTGAATAGAACGCCTTTGTTACGATGTGCTACTTTATGGTACAATATAATGTTTGCTCCATAGAAATACACATGTTTTGTTATTCTACGGTAACTGGCCTGATGCACAGGAGGAACAATACATATATATATTCTTTCAGTGACAATGCGGCTACGTCAGACCTCAAGGTCCAAGCGGAGCTGTTCGTTGTCTAAATTTAGCCTTCAATGTCGGTGCCTGTGCTTCAACATATTGTCACTATAGCTTTAATCATTTGTAGAGGACATTTTCTATGCCAGCGCTGTGGGGATTCTCTTCTTTTAAACTCTCAAGCTCCATGATTACTTTATTGATTTAGCACTTAATATTAAGTAGATAATATTCCAGAGGCCCCAAAGTGGAGTTAATTTAAGAAAAAAAAATCCAAGTTATAGGCTGCATTTATTTAAAACAAATCGTTTGACGGATTTCAAGCAATCTCAATCAATTGATTAAAAAAACTCTGCACACTTCCATATTCTGTTCCGCCTCTTCCCTCTGCTCTTTTAGACAATGTCAGCGCAAACACGGCACTCAGACCACACACCATTTCAGTTCTTATAAGTGCTTTTCCTGTGTTCTAGTTTTTTGACTATCTAATCTGTTGTTAGCATGTCCTCCCAAGATGATTTTTTTCTTAATTTGACATAAGAATTATAGGTGTGATGCACCTTCAACAGAATGTCATTGCTTTAATCTCTTCAGCCTCCTGTACTGACGACCCCGCTCCCATCTCTGTGTGGAGTGAGAGACAAATGCCCACAACTGTAAACCGCTTTGTGACTCTGGTCTGTGAAAGGCGCTATATAAATAAAAGATACTTACTTACTTCTTTCCCCTTCATTCTAAATATATGTTGTTGCATATTTCAGAAATGCAGCACACGTTGATACACATTTTCTGTCATCCATGTATCAACATCTATGAAAATATGAAATTCTATATTTAATCATGTCTCCATGACATGTTTTATACTAATGAATAATCATCAAGTGTTTTTATAAAGTGTTTGCATGAAAGGCCTTTTGTATAATGTTTAGCCTGAGTCAAAAAACCAGACCAGACCGGACCCACGAGACCGATAGACCAGATGACGTATTAGGAGGCACTTCCTATTTTTCTAGACATTTTCATAAAAGTGTTTGGTAGGACATCTTGAAAAGCAGTCTGAACAGGGACAGAGAGAGAAGACATCGCAGAGCCTGCTTGTCCCCTCTGTACATTTTCAGGCCTGGAGGAATAGTTAAATTGGCTCAGCTCACAGGGCTAGTTAGGGAAATAAGAGCTCAGAAAGTTTTGTACTAATGTTTAATTGTAAAGAGAATTAAATATTGTTTTAATTGAACTCTGGAAAATCTTGCTTTTGTTTTATGTATCAAAGTGCGTCTTTTTTTTTGACAATCATGTATAGTGCAAGTTCTCCAAGCATGGAAAACTCCTTTAATATCATTGTCCAACTATTCCAATCAGAAGAGAACATGTTCTACCACCAGCCTTTAGCTGCGCCCCTTTTGGTGTGACAACAAAACCAAGTCGCACCAGCCGCTTCCTTTTCTCTAATGACGGAGGAGCATTTCCCAATGTCTCCCTGCTTCATTATTGGACCGATGGGAGCCCTGGGTGAAGTAACCAAACATCATGTCATCACGTACACATACAGGGCCGTAAAATGTCACCTTCACGTCTCAGTCGGCTCACAACATGGCCTAAATCGTTGGCCACATACACATTCATTCCGTATCCTTCCCTTAGAGATCTTTACAATGACCTTGCTCAACATTTCCACTTGAGCAAAGCTGGAGCTGCCTTGTAACAGAAACATCTCATTTTTAGGAGCAAGAACGGAGCAAGGCTAAGGTTTGCAAATTACAAATACAATCACACAAAAAATACATATGTATACTATAAATATGGCAGAGTCCCAAAGATAATGTACCACCATCACTGAAAGTAATTCAAACCAGTGGGAAGTTTTCCTGAAAATGTGAGGCAGGCTTCTTCTTGGACAATGTGTAAATCCAGGTTAAAACAGTTCTGTTTAGTTGTGCGTACACCTGAAGGATTTTATATTCACTCTTTTTAATGTACTGTGATTATTCATTACTTTATTGCCTTGTGTGACTGTTTCTATCTTATTTTGTTAAGGACATTGCGTTGCCCTGTGAATGAACTATGCTATACA